ATACAATGGTGGTAGCCTTATAATTATAAGTTCTTGACTTTTGCTACTTTCCCTTCAGCCATGTGTTTTATCTTAACTTTTCTTCTGGGTTTCATGTGTTTGATAAAATAAATTTCAGTTCCGTTCAGTTCGGTTAATCGGTTAAAAACCGATACCGGTGCATGCTAAAATGTAATACATGATCTATTGTTTTATATTTATCTTGTTTAAATAAAATAATATCTCGATCTGTTGATATGATAGATTGTAACCAATTGTAATATGTTTATTTCTTGTTTTAATCTTTGTTATTTACATTTAAGGTGGTTATGGTTGTTGCCCGTATGAATCGGGTACGTGTTGTGCTGATAAGGTAAAGAATATCTAACCTTGTGATAAATATTGATTCTCATAGATCAGTCTATTTGTCTTTAGGTACATTGTTGTGCTAGTGATTATTCGTGTGATGCATCTGGTTCACGATGTATTCGTCATCCTGGACCATCATCAAGTGTTAATAATCGAACACTTGATATTGTTATTGCTGCAATGAAAAAATTCAAAATACCATTAATGAAAAAAGGCACATATACACACAGAATTAGGTAACTTGATTAATCTACTTAATTAACATTTTATTGTACTAACTGTTTTAACTTTTTCTAATAAAATGAACTAACTAATATGTCAATTTTTGTTGATGTAGTGTATGTGCGTCAGAGATAGGATCGATTCGGTTCGAATGATCAAACGCATTTTTTTTTTTCACAAAAATTTGCAAAAGAAAATAATATCGTTTTTGAGTGACGAAGTTATCGACTCATAGTTCTCATTTTATTCCTTGTATTTTCATTATTATTATGTCGACAAACATTAGAAGTTTTTGTAGTGAATTTTGTTTTGTATTTTCTATATGATCATTTTTTTCTGTGAAATGTGAAATGTGAATGATCCAATGAACTATGTATCATAGAAAATAAGTTTTGAAAATGCGAGAGGATTTTCTAGACAGCGAAGATTGATCATTGACTGCTCGTTATTTCAAACTGATTTGGGTTCAGTACCCTAAGGTCCAGAAGTGAGAGAAAAAAAGTGTCGAAAACTTAGAATTTTTTTATTTATTTTTGTTGTTCGATGCCATTTAGTAAGTAGGAAAGAAAAAGCTTTTCTGCGTTTAACCATTTTTTTTTGTGGAATTATTATTTCTAACCTCTATATGTACTGAAGTGGAACCTAGTTATAGAGTAATAACTAGAATGCAGTGTCTGTCGACATCGCAACTTGTTATATCGACATTTAACATTTATACTAGGAATTTTGTTTTTTCTTTACGACCTTTTTTTGCGAAAAGAGAACACCATGACCCAGCAAACTGCTCATCGTAGAGAAATTTTGAAAAAGGTACAGTGTTCTACGGAAACTGAAAATTGACCATTGCACGTCCTTTACTCAATTAAAGATCCAAACTTGGAGGTATAAGTCCCATCAGTGGGCAAAAAACTGACTGTCAGACTTACATTATTATTGTTAATTTTTTGTCCGACGCCATTTAGTCAGAGTCTCTCTTTTTTAAATTTTCTTCATTGTTCTTTTATCTTATAAGCAGTTCAAAGAGTAAATCAAAGCAAAAATACAATGCTCAGAGACTACTGATAGAATCTGTCTGGAACAGCAGGTTCAGTCAGAGAGTCTGTCGACATCACAACTTGTGCGCAGTGCAATTGCAATCTAGTTTTATTTTTTTGCAGGATCATTTTTTTTTGCGATGTGTGAACGTGATGATCTAGAAAACTACTGAGAATTTCTGAAAATGAGACATCATTTTTGAAAAAAAGAACATTCAGTGGTCAGTCTCAAGTGTCTAAAAAACAGTCTGCATTCAGTCCCGTAAGGACCAGAAATGGAAGAAAAAATATGTCAAAAACTTGGAAAATTTTCATATATTTATTTCGAAAACATAAAGACTGGTAGAAATAGTTATTAATTTTAATGTTACTATGTGATTACCAAAAGTTTATTTTCTTAGTTTTCTCTTTGTTCAGTTTATTTAGGTGCACCCTAACAAATGTAATTTTGGATTGTATGAAAACAAAGCTTTCTCTCTCTTTTCTGTTACTTTTTTCCCTCTGTTCAATGCATCGCTATAGTTTTTTCTGTCTACCTTTTTGATTCTGTAAGAACCAGCGCACATTTGGGTTTTGACAGTTTCTGTCGATATCGCAACTTGTACGTAACACAATTGCAATCTGATTTTCACTATTATATTCGAACATTTGTATCCAAAGTCGAATCAGTATAATCCAATTCTATTTTAAAATTTTTCGAATCGGTTGAATTTTTGGAAAACAAGATGCGATCCCATCTCTGATGTGTTTAGGACACTTCGTCAGCTTGTAAATAAATAGCAAAATTAATTTTTTAATTCAATAGTGTCTCATAAACTATTACTATTAATATCAGTTTCATATTTTTACTCATATTTAATTTTTAACACTTTTCTTGGAATAACATGCTAATACTGTTCATTTTCTTATTTAGTACTACCTCAGATGAATCTTCCAGTGAACATCCTTACAGTCCTCCATCGTGTAAACAATACTGTCGATCACCGATAACTAGAAAATTGACATGTTGTGCAAATCATTTACCACTCGGACCCGTAAGTTTAACTTAATCGATATTTCTCTTACAAAAGGTACTGAGTGAGAATAGCGGGAGAAAAAAATGCTTTATGTTCCCAAAAAAAGAAAATTTATGCAGAATATTTGTAAAGAACTATTTTATTTTTGGACACAAATTATGTTCTAAGAATTCATCAACTTTAAATCCTATGAAATCTTCGGCAGATTTTAACAGTTTTTTTATACTCTACTGAAAACCAATGCGAGACGAGAGCTCATCAAATTAAGAAAAAAGGTACAAAGTTTTGTAGAAAAAAAATACAGAAGAAGACCAGTCGAAAATAGGCGAAATTTATTAAATAATTTATTAAGTAAGGG